GAGGAACGTGGCTCAGAATCCCTCCAACTGACTGACAAACTGACAGAAAAAGTTAATAATAATTTATATTTAAAGGAATCTGCAACCATTTCAGTAACTGATTAAAGCAAAAATACCAACAAATCACTCATACAAGCTGCTTAAATGTGAATCTATCACAGTAAACTGAATATATTTGGTTTGTGGACAATTTAAAGGACAAAGCAGCATTTTAATGGACATTTCTCACTGTTTTTGTCATTATAATTAATGATGAAAATGATAGTTTAATGCTGTCTCTGAACTCCAGTACTGGGACTTTAATTCTGTGGGAGAAATACTAAATCCTGACATTTCATTTTATTTGAATTATTTATGTGTTTTAGGTCTGAAATTTCTATAGAAAATAGTGAAAGATGCACAGTTTCCCAATGTGACGTCTTTAGATCAACAGTGTAAAAGCCAAAAATATTTTATTTACAATTGTTAAAAAAAGAGAAGGAATTTAACCAGCGAATATTATATTTCCACTATATAAAAGACTTAAAATAGACACATTTTATTTAACATTTTAGTGATTTTTTCCCCTTAAAATTTAAATATGTTGTCTAAATAAGAGCAGAATGAGACTAAAACAAGATGTGATTTGTGTGTAAAATGCAGAATTTAAACGTATTAAAAATAAAAAGAAACTGATCCTGCTTTAGACTAAATGTTCATTCAGTCTCTATCGACTGATCGATTATATTTATGTAACTGTATAAAGTCTTTTATCGTGGCTTTGAATAATGTCGCAGCCGCGTCTTCTTTAACCCTTTAACCCACCGGTTCCCAACCTGAGGGTCCCATCTCCTTCCAGAGGTCGCCAAAGTAATGCGAGGGGGTCGCAAGGGCTTCTTGTTTTTATATAATATTCATATGGATGTTTTCATTAGTGTATAATCACCTGGGAATAAGAAGAATACCTCAGAATGAGCCTTTAATATCTAGAGAAGGAGCAGGTCCCAGCCACCGTAGTTTCTCCATCACAGCCTGTCAAATACAGACGCGAGTGGTGTTCAGTTAGTTGCAATCTGCAGTTTCACCACTAGATGGCACTTAATCTGGTCCTTTTAAGAAAAACTTGTTTAATTATATGCAGTAGGTCTAAATCTCTGCATTTTGTTAATTTCTGTGAAGAAAACTAAATTAAATTATTTTTGAAGTTATTGAAGATGAAAACTTTGAAGTTATTTCACAGAGTCTCTGATAAACAGCCTCGTCCTGCTTTAGAAATGTTAAAACAACCAAAGATCTGAGAGAGCAATGAGACGAAAACACTCAATTTGTCATAAAATAAAGCTTATTAAGTCTCTTTGATTGTCAAACAAACTGAATAAGCTTCTTTTCTTTTAAAACTAAACAGAATACAGACAGAAACTTTGTTGTAAAAGTTCACAAAAATATCAGGATGCAACATTAACAGGAAATAATCTGCTCAAAATTCCTTCAAATCTCTGGTTTTACACAAACTTCCTGCAGCTATTCTGTTCACTGTTTGGGTTCATTGTACGGTTTATCAGTTGTTTATAGTGAATATAATATGAAATGTCCAAAAAATATAGTCATTAGTCAGTTTACTCAGAATGATTAAAAAAGTGATTTAAACAGACTAAATTTCCTTATTTTTCTTAAACATTCTGCTTCCCTGAAGAAGCTTTAAGGTTGTTAAAATGGTCGTTTTCATCACAGACTGACAGTATTTTCTGTATTGTGTGTCAGGTTGTCTCCAGCTACACACTAAAATGTAAATATTCTGGATGTCTTGTGCATCAGAGATGTGCAATGCATCGGGTCCACCGCCTGAATGACCGCCTGCTCAGCTGACGTCCTGTAACGTACACACTGAAAAACCAAAAAAAATTTTTTGGGGGGAACGTGTTGTGGTCTCTTATCAGATAAGCAGCAGTATGTTTGTGAACACACTGTTTCACTCAGTACCACAATTTCCTCAGAACCCTTAAAAATCACTTTGAGAGTTGTTGAGTGATTGAGAAACTTTATAAACTTTGGTGAACTTTGTGGAACTATTGCCTGCGACGAATTCTTAATGATTTTGGAGCTTCTTGTGAATTCGTGATACATTAATGTTATTTATTTTGGTGGAAAAAAACATTGGTGTTTGTTGGGATCCTGCAGGAGAGACGCAGTTCTACCGTTGTTCAGTGAAAATCTGTCATAATCGGGAGAATAGAATTATGACTCTGGGAAAATCAGGGATGGTTGGCGAGTAGTGTGACTCACAGCGTGAACCAATGTTGTAACTGGCAAAGGATTTCTGGTCTTTATCTGGCTTTCAGCTGTCTCTTCCCCCTGGATGAAAATAATATGGCCAAAGTTATATGGAACAAGTTAATTTTTTGACTTTTATTGATCCTTTGACATTATTTTATGAATCATGGATGTGTTATGTGGCATTTTTTAAATATATATGTACTGAGATGTAAAATAAATCCCGAATAAAACTATTTAAATCATCATTAAACATTAGTTATAAATGGTGAAAAATGTTCATCCACCCTGTTTCCCAGTGAAAAGTGATGTCCTCAAACGTGTCTTTTGTTTGTCCACAAACGCCAAAAGATATTTCACTTGACTCGTCGTAGAGGATTTAAATAAATCAGAAAATATATCACATTTGAGTAAGCCTGAAATCTTTTTTTTTTTTCTTCAATAAATGACAACAAAAACGTTGGCGATTAATTAAATACGTTGACTAACGTAATCGATTAATTCAGCCAATCGTTGCGCTCTGGTGTGTTTGTATTGCCATTTCATTGCAGAAAATCGAAAGGCTTAAATCCACCAATAAGCTGTCGTCGTCTGTGTCAGTGTGACTCTCACCCCTTTGTGGGAGAAGAGTTCGTTTTCAGTGCTGCTTGAGGTCTTTTCACAGAGTCCTGCTGTGCGCTCTCCGTTGCCTGGTGCCTTGAAAGATGCTGCGTATAACGCGAGGTAAATCCCTGAACTGGACTGCCTGCTGGGGCCTGCAGGCAGCTGGAGGGTCCGGCTCATCTTTACAGTCCACCCCTCACCCCTCCCTCCTCCTCCTGGGCAGCTCCACACGTGGAGAGGCAGCTCCGTAGGAGACTCCCTTAATGACGGAGGAGGTTGATGATGGTGGCGGCGGCGGCTCCTTCTGTGTGCTGAGCGACTTAATCTCCTGCGGGCTGTCGTTAGTCGTCCTCATCGGCTGGCGAGCCAGTCATGGGGTTATTCCGCAGTCGAGGTCGACATGGTGGTAGTCAGACGCTCAGTCCAGCAGAGAGCATTCACGAACCTGCAGCACAAACAAACAGCAGCGATACACACAACTTTATTCTAAAACTCCAAAACTTCCACAAAGACACCAAATAATATCTAATAATATATAATCATCATGACTGAATTTATGTGTATTAATATCGCTGATTATTTGGAATATTGGGTGTAAAAT